GAGAGGAAGGCCCTCTGTGAGGTGGATTGATTCAGTGACTGGGATAATTGGGATGGGAGTGTCAGAGACAGTGTGATTGGCACAGGACAGAGCGGAGTTTAGGGCTGTTGTACATAGGGTCGCTATGAGTCGCAGGAGACTCGACGGCACATAACAACAACAACAACAATAGTATGTCTTAGATTATACGTATACTAACAATGAACTTGTTTTGTAAAGTCTTTCTACATTGAATTATAACATTATTAGCAACTGAGCAGAAGCCTTTTAATTTTTTTCTTTTTTCCTTTAATTACTATTTTATTCTCAAAAAGTTAATTAATAGAGGTTCACAAATATAAATCATAATGATATTGTAGCTGAAACACTAACATTTTTACAAAGCCAGGACTGTAAAAACCCTTGTTTGTAGGTGCATGCTGCTGAGTTGGAATGGACTCACAGCAAGCCTCCTAGCCTTGAGAAGAATAGGAATCCCAGAACATCTGATTGTGCTCATACAAAATCTATATCCTTGGGCCAAGAGTCAGTCCTCAGAACAGAGCAAGGAAACACTGAAAAAGAGTGTATCAAGAATGTTTCCTGTCTCTATACCTTTTCAATCTGTGTGCAGAACAGATCATTTTGGAGGCTGGAGTTTATGAGGAGGAATGTAGCATCTGGACTGGAAGAAGACTCATCAACAGCCTACGTTATGTAGATAATACACCTTGTTTGCTGAAACTGAGGGTCTGAAGCATCTGCTGCAGAGGGTCAGCGAATGTCGTTTACAGTAAGGACTGAAGCTCAATGTCAAGAAAATGAAGATTCTCACCACTGGGCGAATTGACAGCATTGTAATAGATGGAGAAGAGAGCGAGATTGTTAGCAGTTTGGTTTGCTTAGCTCCACAATCAACCCTCTTGGCACCCGCAGTTAGGAAATTGAGAGACTAATTGCATTAGAGAAGTCTGCTGTCCGGGACCTCTCCAGACTGCTGAAGAGAAAGGATGTCAGTCTAGAGATTAAGGTGTATCTGAACCAGGCCATGGTCCTCACAATTACTTGGTATGCATCAGAGAGCTGAACAGTGACCAAAGATGACAGAAGAAGAATTGATGCCTTTGAGTCGTGGTACCGGAGAAGAGTACTGAACATACCATGGACTGCCGAGAGAACTAACAAGCCAAGCTGCTCCTTGGTGGCAGGGATTTGGAAGCTCCGTCTCACATACTTTGGTCATATAGTCAGGAGGGATGTAGTTTGGAGAATATCATCCTTGGTAGGGTGGAGCAAGAGGAAGACCCTGGATGAGATGGATTGATACAATAACTGTGGTAGTGAGGGGAGGTGTGTCAGAGACAGTGAGATTGGATCAGGATAGAGTAGAGTTCAGGGCTATTGCACATAGAATCGCTATGAGTAACAAGTGACTCAACAGCACATAACAACAATAACAAAAATCACAGGGAGCTCTGGTGGCCTAGTGGTAAGAAGACGCTGCGCTGCAGTCCCAAAGACACGTGGTCCAAATCCACCAGAAGCTCTGTGGGAGAAGGTGGGTATTCTCCTTCTATGCAATTTACAGCCTCTGAAAACCTGCTGGAGGATCAGCTGTGGTTCATTTCTGGCTGGACAGCAAACAACCAACAATCACACGGGAGGAGATTGCCCATCCTCCGCAGAGCAGCTGGTGAATTCTAGCAGCAACAGAAACAGTACATGCAAGTGAAACTGCATGGTATGAAGAGTCCTTGTAGGTGAGGAATAATGACAGTTCTGACAGGAGTGCAGTAAGCCAAAACACACAATCACAAAACCGACAAAACTTATTGCCACTGAGTTAATTTTGACTCATAACACTACCCTGTAGGACAGAGTAGAAGGTCATTTAGGGTTTCCAAGGCTGTGATACACAGAGTATTTCAAGAAAGAAATTAGCATGTTGTTATTGTTATGTGCCATCAAGTTGTCTGAGACTCATGGCAACCCTATATAAAACAGCTCTGAAGCCTGCCCTGTCCTGACCTAGACCCACCAGCCCTCATTACCCCAGTTACTGTGTCAATCCATCTCAATCCAGGGTCTTCCTCTCTAGTGCTGTCCCTCCAACCTTTTAAGCATAATGTCCTTTTCCAAGGACCAGTTCCTCCTAGCCACATGACCAAAGTATGTGAGATAGAGTTTCAAAATCCTTACCTCCAAGGAGAAACTTGATTTCATCCTCTGCAAGGCAGACCTATTTGTTCTCTTGGTCCATGGCATGTCAATACTCTTCTCCAAAACCACTTAAAGTATTTTTGTTTGACTTTTTAAAAACATTGTAATACCTTGTTAGTATGTTGATACATGTAAGCCGGATTTATGAAAATTGGTTCTGAAAGGCCTAGTTATAACACACTAAGGAGTTTTGATTTCAGCTGGGGGTTCTGTGCAGCCTGTAGATACTGATATCCGGAGATCAGTCTCCAGGGAAGGTGTCAGTAAAGCATTTTATCTGGTCTTGATTTAATCCTGCAATTTGCAAAGAGACCTATAATTCTCCTCCTTTAATGTTTGTGTGAGTCAGAACCGTGGGAACGGTGCTGAGCTGAGAGGTGGCAAACCGGGGATGCAGGTGGCCCTGATGTGCAGGTCTAGAAACCATGATGATGACAGGTAAGGCAGATGTGCCCAAAGTCCCACCAGTGTGAGGAACGAGGACATCTGGTAGCTTTAGTAGCAAGACATTCAGAGTGGGATAAAACAAGGAAAACAAAATCCATCAAGACTTCCTTCTTTCATTTAAGTAGTTGTTATATGAGTGAGGAAATTGGTTTTCCATTTCCACTCATGGATATTTTGTTTCTGATGTTACTTACAATAATCACATTTTAGCCACATCCATCCTACTACCTCCCTCCCTATGATTCCTCTTTCCATTAATCCTTCTATCTCCCCTTTTCCTGCCTTCTGAGCTTTGTCCTATGGTGAACATCGCCCTTTTGATCTTGTTTGGCTGATTGTTCCCTGGTGTTACTGCTCACCTTGTGTGTGTGGGAGTGGGGTGGGGTGGGGTTTCTGCCTTTTGTTTGACTGAAATGCTGAGCCTTGTGGATAAATTTTGTTCCAGGCTGGAGGGTAGCTAAGGTGGCAGGGGTTCTATCTGACCGGTAAGGCTGGCCTTTTTAAATTTCTGAGTTTTGTGCCACCGTCTCCCCCTACTATGCCAAGGACCTTCTTCTGTGACAGGCAAGACTTTTTATGTTGGCCTTTCCTGAGGCATGCTGGGACCCTGGCCCCTGCAGGTCACAGTCTCTGAGAAATCTTTGTTCACATCTCTGGGCTACATTTTAAGGGAGATGATGATACCATGAAACACATTTTCAGAAGGGAAGAGCAGCTAGAAGGCAGCAGAGAGACAGTTGAAATGAAAAGGCTTTTAGATGTGAAGGAGGCACAAAGTTAAACACAAAGTGTTTGTATGTGAGATGGAGTTTCAAAGTTTAACTTTGTGTTTGTGACACAAAGTTAAACGCTGTCCTACAGACCTAAAAGCTAACAGTTCAAATTCACCTAGCAATGCCATGGAAGAAAGACCTGGCAAGCCAAGAAGGCTCCGTGGATCAGATCGACTCTGTAACATGAGGGGTCCCTGTGAGTTGGGATTGATTAGATGACAGTGGATCACATGGAGAACGGGTGGTTAAGGGAAGACGTTAGGGCCCATTTGTCAGACCTGGAGATGTGCTTCTGCAGGAGTGGGCCAGGAGCACCTGTGGGACTTAGGTTAATGGTCCTGAGCTGCTAGTTGGGGGACAGAGCAACATCCTGAGATTGTGGGCACAGTTCTCAGTAGTTAATGAGCATTGCTGTTGGCTAGGGGAACTTGTGGAAAAGGTTTGTGCACTGGCCTGCTGCTGGTCTGAGCTGACTCCCAACCCTAACATACTCCTTCCTGGACCCCTTTGGTTTGACTAGTGCTGTTGTTGTTAATTTCCGTCAAGTCGAGCACGACTCATAGTGACTCTATGAACAAAAGGCCTGAAGCCTTTCTTTTTTTAAATTATTATTATTAATTGTAATGAAAATTTACAGAGATTTTGGATTTCCATTCATTCATTGTTCCACTTTTCTTTGAAGACTTTCTCTAACTATCGTCGTTTATCAAAGTTCCTAGTTTCCAGAGGCATGTTGTTTAGGAAGTGGATCCCACTCCTGTGTGGGAGAGGTAAAATTTTGTTCACTTACCTAATTCCTTAATCACATTATAGTTTACATATCATGGCAAAGACCTATTTTATCTATTCAATTTAATGGTTTTTAATGACTTTACTGAGATGTGCAACCATTGAAATAAATCAACACATTTTTCATCCCCCAGAAGTTCCCTCAAGGGCATTTACAGTTGATCTTTACCCCACCCCCAAATACTAATTGACATTCTATCTCCATTCTCTTGTCTTTTTTAAGCATTTCTTTTAAAAAAAATTTTATTTTTATTAATTTTTTATGTGTACCATCAAGTCAGATCTGACTGATACAGGAGGAGATGGTCCCTCCTTCTCCAGCAAAACATCTGGTGGATTCAAACCGCACACCTCTGCGATTGGAGTGCAGCTTCTTGCTACTAGGCCACCAGAGCTCTAAACATTTCTTATAAACTAAACGATACAATCTGCGACTTCTTTCATTTAACATAGTTGTTTAAGTTTATCCTTCACGTAGCCTGTGCCTGAAGTTTGTGCCTTTTTGTTGCTGAATAATATTCTATTGTATGGAAACACAGGGTGTTTTCTGTTTACTAGTGGAGGACATTTATGTTGTTTTCAGAGTTTGACAGCTAAGAATATTTGTATACAAGTATCTATGTGGACATGTTGTTGCTGTTGATTGCCTTCGAATCAAGTATGACTCATGGTGATCCCATGAACAAAAGGCTTGAAACCCCTTTACAACTGTCGACATTTATCAATGTTCATAGAGTTTCCGGAGGCATGTTGTTTAGGAAGTGGATGACTCGAGTAGAATCCACTTCCAAACGTGTCATAGTATGCTATTGTTGTTATGTGCCATTGAGTTGCCTGCGATGTACAGTGACCCTGTGTCCAGCAGCTCTGGACCATTCCCTGTATTTTCTTTTGTTAAGAGTGGAATTTCTGAGTCATATGGTAGCTGGTTTGATATAATTTTTTTTAGACTGTGTTTAACTTTTGAGACCTTAAGGGAGGAGGATTTAAAGAAGCCAGAAGCAGAGGCTGTGGTAGTAACTTACCAGTTTGTCTTTGTTTTACCTTCCAGGTAATCCTCACAGCCAGAACATCAACAGCAAGCTCACCCACGACACCGTGGAGCAGGTGCGCTACAGGTGAGTGAGACCTGCTTCCTTCTCATCAGGTGCTTGGGAACCACAAAGGTGTTAAAATCTATATCAGAGAAATAATGTTTCATGAAATGTTAGCACACACGTAACAATAAACGCAAGAGTCAGTGGCCAGAGAGAGGAGCATGAGGGGTGCAGAGCAGGGCTGACAGAAGCCCAGGAGGGAGGCTCGCAGGTGCGAAAGCTCTGTTGGGCTGATGCCAGGGATTCTGGGGCTCTGGTGGCAAAGAGGGACTCAGGTTCCTAAGTCTTGTTTTCAGAAGGACTAAAACTACTATTTCTTTCTTCCCCATAAGACATTTCATTAGCCCTTTTGCCTAATCCTGATTGATCATGTGATATTCTTTATTTTTTCAGTATTGTACTGTATAGGCTCTTTATACTTTTACACATTTATATATGAACACACACACACTGAGAAGTGATATATAATTATCAGTGATGCTGGAAGCTATGCCATTGGCACTACAAATGCCAGAAAGCAGACAAAGTGGACAGGTTTCAGCAGAGCTGCTAAACCAGGTGGAAGGAGGTGGTGATCTGCTTCTGAAAACAAAACCAAACCAACCCAAACAACAGACAGGGAACATTGATACAGGATAGAAGCTGAGCCCCTCAAGTTAGTAGACACTCAAGAGATGACTAGGTAATGGCTCCCTCCTCAACATAGAGCCAACCTCAGTGACGTGGATTCAGTAAAGCTGACAGGCCCCTCATTTGCTGATGTGTCACAGCTCACAATAAGAAGAAATGGCCACAAACACCCATTATTAGCCGAGATGTGGAATGTACAAAGTGTGAATCTAGGAGGGTTGTAAGTTGTAAAAGAAATCAGGTGGAACACATGAGAATTGATATCCTAGGCATAGTGAGTTCAAACAGAATGATGTCCATTTCAAAGCAGAAAATCCTATCATCTGCTCTGCCAGGTCAGCGAAGGAGTGGAAGGCCCTCCGTGCGGTGGACCCACACTGTGACTACAACAGTGAACGGAGGCCTAGAAAACACTGTGAGGCTGATGCAGGATGAGTAGATGTTCTGATCTTTTGTGCACAGAGTTTCTATAAATTGGACTTAGCTTGACAGCACACAACAATAACAACACTGAGACTGACAAACCAAAGAGGAACAGCATCACATTCATCATCTTAAGAATATTTTGAGATCTGTTCTGAAGTATTTGCTTGGCTCCATAGTCAACACTCTTGGTACCTGCAGCCAGGAAATCAACAGACAAATTGCATTGGGAAAGCCGGCTGTCAGGGACCTCTCCAGAGTATTAAAGAGCAATGACGTCAGGCTGGAGACTAATGCGTGCTATGCATCGGAGAGCTGGACAGTGACTAGGGATGATAAAAGGAGAGTTGATGCCTTTGAGCTGTGGTGCTGGAGAAGAGTGTTGCATATATCATGGACTGCTAGGAGAACAAACAGGTTTGTCCTGGAGAGGATGAAGCCGGACTGCTCCTTGGAGGCAAGGATTCTGAAGCTTCGTCTGACATACTTTGGGCATGTTGCAAGGAGGGACTGGTCCTTGGAGAGGGACATCATGTTTGGGAGGGTGGAGGGATGGCCCAGGAGAGGAAGGCCCTGGATGAGATGGATCAATTCAGTGATTGGAGTAGTGGGAGCAGATGTGTCGGAAACAGTGAGGTTGGCACAGGATAGAGCAGGGTTTTCCATCACTTCTTGTAAGAAGACTGGAGAGTGAATAAGGGAGACTGAAGAAGTGATGCATCAGAACTCTGGTGTTGATGAAGTATATTGAATATACCATGGCTTACCGGAAGACCAAATCTTTGGGAAGAGGTATAGGCCGAATGCTCCTTTAGGAAGTGAGCATAGCAAGACCTTGTCTCACCTACTTTGGAGCATGTTGATCGGGGGTGGGGGGGTGTCATTCTGTGAAGAAAGACTTCATACCTGGTACATTAGACGGTCAACCAGAGAGAGGAGGGCCCTCGGTAAGAGGCACTGACACCGTGGCTGCACCAGTGGTCACAGGCATAACAATGACTGTGAAGACAACACAGGACTGGGTGGTATTTTGTCTGTTGCTGTGAGTCAGAACTAACTTGATGGCGCCTCCTAAACAAAGGGAGCTCTGGTGGCTTAGTGGGTAAAGAGTTGTGTTGTCACCCCAAAGGCAAGTGATTCGAATTCACCAGCTGCTCTGTGAGAGAAAGATGAGCAGTCTCCTCTGATGCAACCTGCTGGAGGGTCAGCTATGAGTCGCTTCCGACTCAACAGCATCTAATAACAACAATAACAACAACATTACTTTTTAGCAAATAGCTTTCAGATAATAACTTACAGCTACTTGTGTCATTACAATTGCAAATGACTTCTAATTTGAAGGTGGTACTGTTTTCCTCAAGAGTACTTACATGAAAAACAATGAGAAACAGGTTGAAGATTTAACACATTGTTATAGAGCATGATGATAGGTCACAGAGGTGCTGTATAAGGGGTGGTTATGAGCCATGAGAGGGTACTGACCTACAGAAGATTACCCATCTTTCTCAGGGGTAGCAGCTGATGGCTGTAAGCCGCATGCCTTTAACCACCACCACACCTGGTTACGGGGTCACCAGAGCTTCCTAAGACTAAGATTGTTGTCATGTGTGGTGACCTTGTATTTGACTCACAGCTGGCCCTCTGAAAGGTTTCCCGAGGCTCTAAACGGCATAGAAGATTGCCCATCTTTCTCCTAGACTTAAGTGGTTGTTATATACTCTGGAGTTCAAACTGACTTGTAGCAGACCCTGAAGAGAGTTTTCAGAGGCAGTAATTGCAAGGAAGTTAATTTCCCATCCTTCTCCCACAGAGCAGTCGATGGATTTGAACTGCTTGCCTTTGGGTTGGCAGCACAACTCCTTACCACTAAGCCACCAGAGTTCTTAGGGCTTTTTTTTTTTTTTAATTTTTTAAAATTTCATTTTATAATTTTCAAGTAAAGGTGGGGATTTGGATACAAGGTAATGTTACTAGTGTGAACTCACTTAGCAGCTTCCCGCCCCATCACTTCTTCCACCCCAGCCTCAACTTTACAATTAGGGCAAGAATGACTAGACTTTCTTTTTCTAGCTATTAAAGGTCCCTGCATGACTTAAACGCTGGTGATTTAAACCCATCCAGATGCACGGTGGAGGAAAGATCTGGCGCTCTTCTTCCTTCATGGAAACCCTCGATGTGCATTTCTCCTCTAACACAGGGGGTGTCGTGTGGCAGAGTGGATATGATAGCAGGGAGTTTGGGGGTGATTAAGGCTGAGGCTTCACATTTAGCATCTGTATGGCTCCCTGCAGACGTTGAGTCCCCACGTGGCCACAATCCACCCCTCTTGCAGGATCCTGGCGCACTTCCACACCTCTCCGGATGACTACAGCGTGGTGTTCACGTCGGGGTGCACAGCTGCTCTCAAGCTGGTTGCCGAGGTCTTCCCATGGGTTCCCCAGAGCCCCGAAAGCTGCGGGAGTCGGTTCTGCTACCTCACCGACAGCCACACGTCTGTGGTGGGCATGCGAGAGGTCACCAAGGCCATGGGCGTCCCTGCTGTCCCCATCAGGCCAGAGGACGTGCGCTCTGCAGAGCCTGGGCATGCAGCAGCCCCGGGCCCCGCCAGGGGACCCCCGCACCTCTTCTGTTACCCTGCGCAGAGTAACTTTTCGGGAACCAAGTACCCGCTCTGCTGGACGGACCTCATCAGGTGCGGGCACATGCGCCCGGGTGAGGAGCCCGGAACCTGGTTCGTGCTGCTGGACGCCGCCTCCTACGTGAGCACCTCGCCGCTGGACCTGTCACAGCACCAGCCCGACTTCGTTCCCATCTCCTTTTATAAGATCTTCGGCTTCCCCACCGGCCTGGGGGCCCTGCTGGTGAACAGCCGCGTGGCCCCTCAGCTCAAGAAAACCTACTTTGGAGGCGGCACCGCTGCTGCCTACCTCGCAGCCGAAGACTTCTATGTCCCCAGACAGTCGCTGGCCGAAAGGTAAGCTCGCCGTTGGGCATGGGGCCAGGGGTTGGACGAGGCTGCAGAGCCCAGGTGCCACCCGTGGGTTTGTGCGAGGGGCGGGTCTGGTCAGTGGGTCAGGGGCTGGATGTTGCAGCAAGGACGGGATGGGACTGCCACACTCTGAGCTGAGAGGCCTGGGATGGCCAACCAAACCATGCCCTCTTGTGGGCATCCCCTGTTTGTTGTTGTATCCCCTGAATTGGAACTGACCCATAGGTGGCCCTGCAGCAGGTTTTCAGAGGAAGTAAATCGTACAGGAGATTGACTCTCTCTTGCACAGCAACTGGTGGATTTGATCCATAAACCTTTGTGATGGCAGTTCAGCTCCTTGCCACTAAGCCACCAGAACTCCCTGGGCATCTCCACAGGGTAGTTAGCTATGAGTGGTGCCTAACACCAACATGGAGACGTGCCTAACACCAACATGAACACCAAGACTGAACCCTGCCCTATCCAGTGCCGTCCGCATGATTTCTGATTTACTTGAGACCATTGCTCCAGTCACTGTGTCAATCCATGTGGTTGAGGGTCTTCCTCTCTTTCACTGTCCCTCTACCCTCCCAACACCACAGCTCAAAGCCATCGATTCTTCTTCTGTCATCCTTTTACATTGGCCAGCTCTCAGATGCATATGCATAGCAAGTGATTGGAAAGTCCATGGTCTGAATCGGATGCACCTTAGTCCTCAAACTGACATCATTATCTCTGGAGGCAAAGATGATAAAGCTTTGCCTTGTATACTTTGGGCATGTTGCCAGGAGAGGCTATTCCTTGAAGAGGGACATGATGCTTGGAAGGGCAGAGAGAAGGCAAAGGAGCTGAAGACCTTCCTTCACCAAGATGGATTGATATAGTGACTGTCGCAATGGGCTCTTATGTGTCAGGAAATGTGAGGGTGACACAGGACAGGACAGGGGTCAGATTTGTTGTTTATATGGTCATACTCAACTCGACAGCATTTGACAACAGCAACAACAACAACTACCTCTCACACATGATGTCCGTCCCCAAGGAATACCTCTCCTAGCACACGTCCTGAGTATGTAAGATGAAGCTTTGTCATCTTTGCCTCCAAGGAACACTTGGGTTTACCTTCTCTAAGATAATTGTCTCCATAATTGTGGGACATGAGACCTATAGATAAAGGCTGAAGAAGTAAAAGGCCTCCAGAGGAGTGAGGAGGACCGGCTGTGAGGCCTTTACTCCACAGCATTGACCAGAGGTGGTCACAAGTAAAGCAGTGATTTTAAAAACTGGTACCATTGGGAGCAGGTGGACATACATGTTAACAGCACGGCCTGTTTGTGTCAGCAGCTGGAGTTAGTTCAGATTGACAGCTGTTTAGTAAGAGGAATCAAATCAGAGTCACCTGACTGTTTGAGCACCACGAGGAATTACAGTGACGTCTGGGGGGGGCAGGTTACCCCTTAACTGTATTGACACTTATCAACTCCAAGGAGAGGCCACAGGGACTCCAGTGGTGTTTGAGACCCATGAGGTTGAATGTGTGAGTGGCGACAGCAGGAGGCGCCATGCTCTCTGAGGCTGGGAAGGAGCTCTGCGGTGTGCTCAGTACTGAGTTACTGCTGACCTAAAGACTGAGCGTCTCCGACAGTTCAAGTCTACCGGTGTCTCTGTGGGAGGAAGATGGGTATTCTTCTACATTCCGATTTTCAGCCTCGCAAACTCAGTGGAGACTTGCTCTGAGTCAGAACCAACTGGCTGAGCAGTGAGTGAATGAGAGGTTGGGCCAAGGGGCTCATCAGTCACCCTTACAGTGGTGAGAAACGGCTGGGGATGAACGAAACATGGGTCAGAGTTCCCACCAAGCTCCTGGTAGACTCCACGGTCCTGCTGATGGAGATAGAGTGTAGCTTAAATTGAAAGCTTGGAGCTGGACCACCAAGTGATCCAGCTCCAGCACAAACCAGCTATGGAAACAGGAATATGAGATTTGCCCTCTCTACATCTGTTTCCATCTGCAAAATGGGGGTTAATGGTGCCATTATATACATACATACATATTAAAGTGTATATATGTGTCTAAGTATGTATTTTAGGCAAGAAAAACCTTTTTTATTTTTTTAAAAAAGGTTTTAATATTTTTAG